AAAAAAAAACAGTTCCATAAAAGAAACTTCTCTTTAAAAGACAATGAATACATTGGGTTTATGAAAAAAAAAGTCAAAACACACCGTCACTCACACAGATAAGTACACAAGAGCAGTCATGTACGCATGTCTTACCAGCCTCACTTGTCTTGAAGGGTACCTCACTGTCAGCACCACCACCGACCTCTCTATTATAAGCACGGACATGTACAATGTAGTCTGTGTACGGGAGCAAGTCTGTCACTGTCACCTCAAAGACCACTTGGAAATCACCAAGATCTGTACTGTCATATTGACTCACAGGAGATGAAGGCATTGGGGGTTGACACTCAGAAAACTGAGATGGGAGGAACAAATAATCATGAGTCAGTCAATGAGATCAATTTGAAAACATTTTATCTCAAAATATAAAATCAACAATATTTGAAGATTTCTTTCCTGTCAAAGATGGAAAATGTCCATGACAAAATTCTGTTTCTGGCTTCCTTGAGATTCCGCCTTGAACAGATTCCACTGTATACTATATACCAGAAATGTAGGTCCACTCCCCCCCAGTCGCCAGATAATGACATGGACAAACAAGTACACTGGTGACAAAATTGTTGTGGGAAAGTGGTCTATAGTAAGCCTGATAGCAATACAAGCAGAACCTTACTGTCTACTCACAGAATATGTGCTAAGTGTAGTTTTCGTAAGAGTTTTATGGCTCTCGCAACACAATAAGGTCATATAAGTGCCGAAGATAGATGAGGTAGGAGAGAGTAACAAATACAAAAAGGAAAAATGAGAGATAAGAGCAATAGGCGTTTGAAAGGAAAGAAGGAGCAAACCACACCAGAGCACCCGTCAACTATGTCCTACAGAACATGTGTGAATCTTGATCAATATTTGAGCAAAAGTTTTCAAGTCCAATTGAAAAACACATGAAGCACTTAATACATTTAAGGTCCTGTCCCCCATCCCCTCCCCCCTCCCCAAATCTAAAAATTATGGAAGAGAATTAAAGATATCCAGACGTGGAGCAAACTTTTCTAAATTCTAAAAGAATTGTAGTTGTATACTTAAGGTTTGAGTATTATTTCTCTAACATGAGCCTAAAAAAAAGGCTCTACATAAACACAAACACAGACACACACAAGATAAACTTAAGTCATATATTGTAAGAATCAAAACCATCAAACTCACATTACAGTTTGGACACTGTACGTGAAATTGTTTAATGCACTGCCCGCCTGCTGTCACCCAAACTTTGTATCCTTTTAGATCGCCGTTAGGTTGTGACGGCCTTCGCCAGCTCACTACAACGCCAGTAGCAGTGACTGAAGACTGCTGGTAGCTTAAAGCATCTACAGAACCTGGTGCTGTGAACAAGACAAAGGTAAGACAGCTTAAAGCATGCTGTGAATACACATTTGAATACATTCTCTTTGTGCTTCTTCAAGCAACCAAGATTACAGTGGAGATTGTCTAAGATGGCCACTTATTGTAGAGGGAAAAATGGTTGTCTGAGATAGGTGGATGTTTTACAGTGTGTCATTGTACTGACAAAAAAACACAAGGGGGTAGTGGATGAGTGGAAAGAGACTATTTGTACAAACGATTGTCTTATATAGGCGGCCATTCGTACAGGTGATTGTCTTATACAGGTGGCCGTTTGTACAGGTGATTGTCTTATACAGGTGGCCATATGTACAGGTGATTGTCTTATAAATATGGACATTATTACAAGCGATTGTCTTATACAGGTGGCCGTTAAGGCAGGTGATTGTCTTATACAGGTGGCCGTTTGTACAGGTGATTGTCTTATACAGGTGGCCATATGTACAGGTGATTGTCTTATAAATATGGACATTATTACAAGCAATTGTCTTATACAGGTGGCCGTTAAGGCAGGTGATTGTCTTATACAGGTGGCCATAGGTGCAGGTGATTGTCTTATACAGGTGGTCATAGGTACAGGTGATTCTCTTATACAGGTGGCCATATGTACAGGTGATTGTCTTAAACAGGTGGCCATAGGTACAGGTGATTGTCTTATACAGGTGGTCATAGGTACAGGTGATTGTCTTATACAGGTGGCCATAGGTACAGGTGATTGTCTTATACAGGTGGCCATAGGTACAGGTGATTGTCTTATACAGGTGGCCATAGGTACAGGTGATTGTCTTATACAGGTGGCCATAGGTACAGGTGATTGTCTTATACAGGTGATTGTCTTATACAGGTGGCCATAGGTACAGGTGATTGTCTTATACAGGTGGCCATAGGTACAGGTGATTGTCTTATACAGGTGGCCATAGGTACAGGTGATTGTCTTATACAGGTGGCCATAGGTACAGGTGATTGTCTTATACAGGTGGCCATAGGTACAGGTGATTGTCTTATACAGGTGGCCATAGGTACAGGTGATTGTCTTATACAGGTGGCCATTAGAGCAGGTTCGAATCTATTTATCTCAGTATTCCACTTTGTAAGGAGAAAAGTAAAACAAAAAACATGCGGAGTACAGTCAGGTACATTTACAAAGGAGGAAAGAAAATAAAAGTTTTTCAGCACAATGATAAAATACATTTAACAGTTTTATCAGAAATTTGATTTACTAAATGAAATAAAACATTTAAGCACTGCATTTTTTGCACAAAACTCAACTCACTCTTTCTTCTATCTGCATGTGGCTCCGAAAAAACACATCACATGGTGCAAGGAGATAACTTTTAAAACTGACTTTTTTATTTGGATATTTTTTTTTCTTGAGCATTTTGCTGTTTAGTTGGGCGTAGTTTAAGCTTTCTGTAAAAGTAATAGTAGTTCCAAACACAACAGTACAAAGGGTTTTACCTGAAAGGCAATACACTTCCCTTTCTTTTAGAATTCTCCATCAGGAGGTGTCTGTGACAGTAAGCGTCCATCCCCAGGAGTAAACATCAGTCGAGATTGTTTCAGAAACTAGAACATATTGGCCTGCTTTGTGTCTCAACAAAGTGTACAACATAACAAAAATACACATAAATAACATGACAAACCTGCAGCTCCTGTAGTAAAAGATCCTGAGGTTGAGGCACTGGCATCATTTACACCATTATAGGCTGTAATTGTATAGCTATAGGAAGTATCTGCGACCAGATTCTCAAAGACCGCTGTGTCAGTAATCACACTTTGGGACCCTCGTCCTGTCACTGTCACCGAATAACTAGTGACACAGCCATCCGAAGGTCCAAACTTGAGGACAGTACGCGGCACTGAGAGGGTACTACTTCCAGGTATCACTTCTCCAGGCTGGGCAGGCTCTGGAAACAGACACGTCACGAGAGACTTCCATTTACACATCACGAGATGTCAAAACAACATGACTTCCATTTACACGTACCACAGGACAAAATATCATTGTAAACATTTCTGACTTTTGTTCAAAACACGACCAACACGACTTCCATTCACACGTACCACAGAACAAAACGTTACCTGTGTCACACACAACATACTGAGGCAACATCATTGTGAACATTTCTGACTTTTGTTCAAAACACGACAAAGTGGGACATCATCAAGAGGTGTTAAGACAACTTTTTTCAGTCTCCATTTTCCCCAACTATATCCTCACCAATATCTTCCCCATGAGTGTTGCGTTTACCAGAGAGCACTGAGACTTGACGTGTTTTTGATACAGGGGAATACTAGTGCTTGGTGCCCACATAAACATCTATCTGTCCCAACTACCACAGCCCAGGTGTCCACATGTATACATGAAGTACTGTCCCAACTACCACAGCCCAGATATCTACATGTATATATAAAGTACTGTCCCAACTACCACATGTATACATAAAGCACAGTCACAACTACCACAGTCCAGATGTCCACATGTATACATAAAGTACTGTCCCAACTACCACATGTATACATAAAGTACTGTCCCAACTACCACATGTATACATAAAGTACTGTCCCAACTACCACATGTATACATAAAGTACTGTCCCAACTACCACATGTATACATAAAGTACTGTCCCAACTACCACATGTATACATAAAGTACTGTCCCAACCACCACAGCCCTGATGTCCACATGTATACATAAAGTACTGTCCCAACTACCACATGTATACGTA